ACACACACACACACACACACACACACACACACACACACACACACACACACACACACACACACCCATATACACACGATCATATGCTGCATCTCACTCACTGACCTACTGGAGACGATTGTATGCCTTTGAGCAGGATTGTCTTTTATCTGTCTTGTATGTCCTCCTAATCATTTGCATGCATCAAATCGGTTCTTTCATGTAAATGACTTTAGACATAATTTTGTATTATTCACAGTCTTCTCTCTCTCTCCCCCCCCCCCCATCTCTCTCTCTCTCTCTCTCTCTCTCTCTCCCCCCCCCATTTTTTCTTAATTTACTTTCTCGTTTGTGAGTTGTATCTTCTTTTTAACGTTTAAGTAAGCCTAACTGAGATCATTTTATGAAAATAGAAGCAGTGGAGGTTTCTCGTTTACGTGGTGCACAATATTCCAGCAGATCGACGGAAATACTCGATAAATTGATTTTTGAAACCCTGGAATCAAACTCTCGTGTCTTCTATTTGCGTTGAGGGAGAGCGTGACCTTAACACCACAGACACCTTGGCGACTCGTCTCTAAAGATAATGTTTAATTTGGCTCATGCATTTTTCCAAGTCAAAATATAACCACCGTTGGTCTTATCATTGTTTAAAAAGTGCCACATTTCTTTTCGCAGAGTGAAGCCTTTAAAATAGTATGTGACCATCCTTGCTCGTCTGGATATTTAAGAGTGCCCCTTCTCCTTTTTTTTTTTTTTTTGCAGCGTGAGCAGCTATGAGGGTCTTGGCCTGGAGGCGGCCTCGCCTGTTCAGTGGCCATTGCTGGCGTGTGGTCAGGCTGGTGCTGCTGCTGTCGATGCTCTTCGTGCTGCTGGTTGTGCCTGTCCGCAATGCTGTGCTGAGCTTCTTTCTGCCGGGGATGTGGCTGGAGCACAGTACACTGTTTCTGATCAAGGTAAAGGAGGGCTTATTTCATTTTGAATGCGAGTGCTTTGAGGGGATGGGCATGTCACAAGATCCACAGGACTTGCCAAAACAGTCCTACCTGGAACCGTAAAAGGAATTAAGAGAAAGAGAAGAAGACAGAGAGGGAGATGGGAGGACAACATTACAGAGTGGACAGGAAAGACGATGAGTGACAATCTGAGGAAAGCAGAGGACAAAGATAAATGGCGAGAGCTGGTTTTCAGATGCAGTGGTGCCCCCACGGTTGCCCCAACCACGGGATAGAAGAAGAAGCTTTGAGGGCGCCACTGGTTCATTATAGTTTTGTCCTGCCCATCTGCCCTCTGTTGCTTCTGTCTATCCGTGTAGTATTTAATTATGAATACATTATCATATGTATAGGTCAATTTGTGAGCTTTTTGCCCCATTTTGGTCTTGACTAAGCCCCATGTTTTCAGCATACTGAAAAATCTAAAAACTGTCATAGTCCATCGTAATGCTCACGAGAACAAAAGTGTAGGCCACGGAAAAACCAGCGATATCAGATGAGTACAGGGGGAAAACAAGTGATATGTCAACACGGAGAAGCGACTTATCTCCCCTATCTGCCCTGACAAGAAATTGTCAGTTGTTTTTAGATCGTGTGATTGTTGCATTGTTTACGCGCATTTCGAAACGGTGGCTAGCAGCATACCACTCGAGGTAATAGAAAACTCTTTAACAAACGTTCAAAATTAGGAAGACAACGGGAAATTACTGCAGGGCCAAGAATATCAAAGCACGTGATCGGTTTGCCCTGCAAACACCTAAAATATTTTGAGGTGACTGCTGATGACGAAGAAAAAGATAGAGAGTGAGTGAGAGAAAAAAGACAGAGACATAGAGACAGTCACACAGACTTGTTTACAGACTCTCAGACAGATAAACAGATACATACATACACAGAGAGAGAGAGAGAGAGAGAGAGAGAGAGAGAGAGAGAGAGAGAGAGAGAGAGAGAGAGAGAGAGAGAGAGAGAGAGAGCACTCCTTTTTTATGTTTTCTTTTATTACTTTCCTGTGATCTGTTTTACTTTTACTTTTTCCTTCTCTTTTTCGGTTCAGCGTCGAGGGGAGATATCATTTTTCTATGGTCGGCCAGCTCTACAGCTCTTTCAATCGGTATATAATAATTTCTCAGGGTTTCCATGACTCCCTCAATCCATCTTTTGGCGGAGTTTACCTCTTCCTTTATAGCCTGGGCACTTGGTGTTACGTGGTCTCGAGGCTGTCTGGCTAGGTGACATTCCTAACAGGTGGCCAAACTATTTTAATCTCTGTTTTTCTATGAAATGCAGACATGACTAAGTGCCAATAGTTCTTTTTCTTTTATTTCTTCTTTTCGCTGTCTGTCTCTTCGTGTGATGTTAAGGGTTTTGTAGAGACATTACATCGTGCATGCAGTGATTTTGTTTTCACGGGTTTTACTTAATGTCCAGGTCTGTCATTGGTAGCATAATGTTGATATACATATTGAAGTGATAAGCAGTCTCTTTGCGTCCATTGAGATGTTTGAGTGAGACTCAAAGGGCGCGAGCTGGATGTGACAGTGTTGACTTTTGGAGTTCACTTTTCTATTTCTTTGTTTATGGACACGTTTTCAGAAAAAGTCCTGCAAATATATTTTAATTCCTTCGTCTGCTTTAGTTTTTTATTATTGATACTTTATCTATTTTACC